TAGGTTCATGGAAATATAAAAAGCCTCAGCTGAAGACCATTTTCTAAGAAAGACTTTATTTATGAATCAGGGTTAGGCTCCTTATTTAAAGATAGAGCCAGTTTTTTGTTAGAGCCCAATTGTGCAAAAGTATTAGTTTTTTTTTGTTTGTTTGTTTTGTTTTGTTTTTTAACATTGTCTTATCAAGCCACTGTTAAGCAGAAGAAAGCCATGGTGAAAGGAGATATTTAACTCGCTCTTCAAGGGAATGAGAAAAGTTACTTTTTCCTATCTGTGTCTGTAGTGGAAGTTACATACTTCCCCAAAGATGTTATTGACCAGTATATCAAATCAGAATGTAAAAGTGAGCTCTTGCTTTTATTTAAAATTATGTGGGAACATCTGAACATGAATGTTGTTTGTGGTACTTATTTAAGAGATTAAATGAATTGGATCATCATTATGTGATGTCGGGAGATTGCAATGCAACTATGCCAATAAAATGTAATTTAACTGCCCCAGATATTTTGAATATTCAACAACAACAAGAAAAGCTTTTCATCTAAAGTTTTAACATTTTGATTTTTTTTCCTTTTTTTTTTCTTTTTTTTCTTGTTGTTTCCTAGGTACTAGTTTTAATTATTATTTGGAAGGGAGCAATGTAAAGCTTATTTGTATTCAGTAGTGTATCTCATAGATACAGACAAGGCAAGCAGAGATAAGCTGTTTAAATAGTGTTTAATATTGATGGGGGGGAGAAAGAAAAAGTGTATTACTTAAAAGATATTATACTATATACATTTTGTATATCATTAAATCTTTAAAAGAAATTAAATAAATTTATTCTTGTTTACAGATGTTTAGTGAGTTTAATCATTCTTTAAAAATATTTGACATTTTCAGGATATCAGTTTATTTTCAGAGTATCAGCTTTTCTAAATGAACCATTTTTATACACCTATGCCTTTTGATGTCCTATTTGTATGATGTTTAAATGATACTTGTTTCCTGTGCTGTTTTTTTTTCCTTAAGTTTCTTGCTGATCAGAAAAGGTGATTATCTGTTCGAATTTAATTTCATGTTGCTTATTTTCACAAGATAATAATAGCTAAGAATTAGTTTGTACTGTTTGTCAGGCATTGCTCTAAGTATTTTGTATTTATTAATTTATTTAATTCTTATAATGATTTATTAAATAAGTATTAAGGATTGTTATCCTGTGTTGCAGATTAGAAAATCAAAGTGCTAGAGAGGTGAAGTAGCTTTCCTGAGATTTTTGTACTTTAGTATGTAGTAGAGTTAAGATTCAAACTCAGGCAGATTGTCTTTCCTCTGTGCTCTTAAGCCACATGTTTTATTGACTCTCAAGCATAGTGACTAGGTGGTTAGCACCTAATCACTGATGGCTTCTGTACCATTTCCTGTTCACTCTGCTGAAACAGATCTTCTCCATTAACCAACTAAGTCCCAAGTTTTCAGTTCTGAAAATATTTTAATGAAATTGATAAACGTGCATTAAAATAGGTCAGAAGTAATAATTTAGAGCTTATATATAATTTGTTAATATTAATAGCTTTAATGAATATTATTACTATTTACCTATTGCTTTTCTCAAAATAATAGAACTCTAAAAAACATTTATTTCAGAGTTACCTTGATTGATATATTTGTTGTACAATTTGAATTTTGCTTGTTTGTGATGCTGGGGCTTGAACCCAGGGCCTTGCACATGCTAGGCAAACACTCTAAAGTCACTGAACTACATCCCCAGCCCTTCAATTTGTGTTTTTTAGGTATTCCTTAAATAAGCTAATGGGGTGACTTTTTTGGTTAATTCATGACAGTAAAAGTTTACCTATAAGTTGCATTTTTCACCATAAAGAAAAATTATCACTGCTCATTATATTACTCCATGGTCAGAAATTGTCATTTGCTAAATCTCTAAATTTTTTCTTAATCTCATCCTCTGGAGAGAATGAAACTCTTTTATTAGATTAATTCTTTGAATTTTTGGAATTCTCTTCTGCAGTTGTTCTCTAATAATGTGCCTTCTTCAATCTGTTGATGCATGTGTACCATTATTCTGTTAGAAATAATGCATGTTGATTTATTGTGACATAGAAAATATTTTAAAGATATAAAGAAAAATTACACATCTTTCTCACCTTCAAGTCAGACTATGTTGCTTTCATAGCTACTATCTATGTATTCACCACAGTAGATTGCACACTTCACAGAGAGAAAGGATCCTCAGATTTTTCACCAGGTAGTTAACCCCTTGCATGATACGCAGTTTGTGGGAGGCACAGTAAAAAATATGAATGTTAAAAATGTTTTTCACAATACCATCCTCTCTTAGGGAAGATCACAGTGATGCTCTCTTACATATTTAAGTAGACAATTGAAGCAAGAGTACATAATAAACAGCTGCTTATTATTTTAAAAGAGATCATTTGCAGGAAAGTGTGTGTCTGCACTGCACAGATTTTTTGATCATCCTTATTTATTGTATCTGTTGTTGTTTTTACACGAGGCATCTGTATTGTAGGTCCCAGATGATGTTAGCTTTCTCTTAGGCAAATTCTAAGCCAAGCTTCTGATCCTCTCTAGAATATGTTTTCCTTTTGTAGGCTTTTTGGAAATTCCTTTAAGCAGAGTTCTTTCCCTGGGGTCTATGATTGCATCTTGTTGGTCATGGAGATGGGAGAGGTTATAATTATTCTTCAGAAAAGCTACACATGTCCACTGATAGTGGACAATATCAAACAAGAGGGCACTCCCCACCCAACATTAGCATTCCTTCATTTGTTTTTCCCAGGCAATTTCCATGCTTTCCTACATT